GTACAGACGAGAAGCAACACGTCTCCACTTCCCGGCGCCATGTTGATTGATTATATCACCCAGTGATATACTGTATCTAATTGAGCCTGCCTATATTAAATGCTCACGTGACTGACTAAATTATTTGTCATAGAACCGCGCCGAAATTTCCAGAACTTTTCTCTCTCCCTAGATAGAGAACAATTTATGTAGTCTTTCCACAAAGCGATATGGTTTACTCTAAAAATATTTAAAAGAATACCTCACCCACATATTGATTCCACACCAGCACTCTGTCTCCTTTGGAGATATCAGACAGTAAGCCGGTGGACTCCGCACTCCCAAAAACCGCACATTGTCCCACCTCACTAAAAAAGCTGACAACCCACAGTGGGGAGTCTTGTGCGCTACCATTGTTATCAAGTAGTTTGTCTCTGTTTTGGATCCAGGAGAGTCTGTCTGTCCCTCCTGTAACTCTGTTTGAATTTCTATAGTTTAAATATGCATTTTTTGTTGTTTTAGTACAGTTTGTGAATATAATGTTAATGCAAATATGTTACATCAGGTGAAATGCAAGTTATATTAAGATAAGATGACTTTATTGGCCATATACAGTACAATTTCTTGAATTAGGAATACCCCAACTTCCTCTTCATGAGACACACAGACATGGAGAGAAGCTTGGGTTTAGAGCACAGAGTCAGTCATTTATAGGCACCCCTGGAGAAGCTGGGGTTAAGGGCCTTGCTCAGGGGCTAAACAGAGTAGGATTTATCTGCCAGCCACAGGCACAGATCCTTAGCCACAGAGCCACCGCACCACCCCATATATTGTAATTCAACCGGGTTAAATTAACATGTCCTGTGCTCATTCAACTGGAGGGGGTCTGAGGCTACATGTCCTGAGAGAAAATAAAGCTGAAGAGCGAGTATCAGGACAGCAATGTGGAGAGATCTGGAGTATACAGATCGGCTAGTGAGCTCGTAGGGGTGAGTTTCAATTTAATTTACAACTGGAGGAAAAGAGGAGAGATTATCGGGAAAAGGGAGGAACAGAAGGACTGGATTGGGATTGGAAAAATGTCTGGAGACCATGTGCAAAGCATCCACATTCATTCTCAAAGAAAACACTCGGGATCTGCGGCGCGCTGTGAAGAGGCAGCAAGTTTCTCGATCGTCAGAGGCTGCGAGTGAACCTGATGATTTACAGCTGAGAACAGTGCACACAGGATACAGATTATTCTCACCGGACCGTCTAATTTATTGTAGTCAGGACTCAAATCTATCTTACTGTTTTATCGCGGACAAACCTGTTTTTTACTGACTTTACTTTCACCATCCAGTATTACAACACATTTTTTTTTTAAAGTTTGTGAAATTACTTAATTTGGGGAATATATCATCTTGCCTCTTAACCAGCGCGCCAACGATTTTTTTGGTTTAAGAGACTCTGTACATTCCTTTATAGTGAATGTTTTTTTTTTTAGTTTCTCTAATGGTTATTTATATATGTTGTTCTGTTTGAGAAATTTCACAATGCAGCATAGTCTATATGTGTTTTTCAATTTTAAATTACAGAAAGTAAGGGGGATATGTGCTCATTATAACATACTGGGCACACAAGCCTTGTGAAGTCATCTTGCGATCACTGCTACAGTGCCTTGCGAAAGTATTCGGCCCCCTTGAACTTTTCAACCTTTTGTCACATTTCAGGCTTCTAACATAAGGATATAAATTTTTTATTTTATGTGAAGAATCACCAACAAGTGGGACACAATTGTGAAGTGGAACGAAATCTATTGGATTTTTGAAACTTTTTTAACT